GTGCATTTTGTTTTTAACTCTAAAGGCAAAAGAAAATTAAAATGCAGACCCAAACTTACTTTTAAAGGTTAATTGTCAAAAAAACTTTCTTTCATTTGTTGATGTTATGACCTAGGAAAGAACCAGGGCTCCCAGATTTCTCTGATTTTGTTTTACTCTTTTCCAAGTTGGTGCTCTTTGTTCTTGAAAGTGAACCCATATTTGCAGCAAAGAGGTCCAATTAGGAAAGAAGAGTGAGCTTTCAGAGCTTGCAGAAGAAAACACCTGCTGTGATCCAGGGCACAGCTGTGAGCTGAGGTCGCCTGGCTCCGTGTCCATCCTGGCTGGCAGGTGCAGGGACGCCGTGCTGTCTGCTCACAAACACCCGCACTGCACCCAGCAGTCTGCTGCTCAGCCGAGAGCACAGGTTCTCGTGTTGGTGAGCGTCCAGGCTGAAGAGCTTTAGTTGACAAAGCTGGCTTCCGCGTTGGTGCCTGGACTTTGGGAAGGGTCCTCACCGTTCTGCACTGGAGCCAGACTTCAGAAAGCCCATGACCTCCAGAGTGCGTGTTACCTAACACAGCACCCAGAGAGGCCCTGGCTGTGGTCCCACCAGCAAAACCAGAAAATACTGTCAAGGGGAGAAGCTTCTGGGGGAAAGAGGGTATAAACACTGAAGACAGGTCAGCAGGAACAGCTGGCCTGGAAGGAGCTGGGTTTTCTAGGAGCCCTTTTTTGTAACGTTAGTAAAGCCTTTAACCTTGGCACTGGTGATTTAGTTTTTTGAGGACAAGGAATTTGTATATTCAGCCTTTCTACCACGTCCTCCACTAGTGCTTGGAGCAGTGGCCCACTCTTCATGGACATTAAACAAATGTGTACAAAAATCAAAATAAAGTTCAGCAGCGTGCTGTTATATGCAGGCTAGAGTCTCCACTACACTGCTTAAAACTTTCGTGGTAGTTATCGTCCCATTATTTTTCTTGACTTTCCTTTGAGTTACAAAAAAATTAATCCTGGTTAGGTTGCCCTGGTGAGTTTTCGTCCGTGTTATGATAACCAGAGAAAACCCTTAAGCTCAATTTTGCAGCGGTAGGTTCATGAACTGCACTCAGTCCTCATTATTTGACTTGATGAAAACATTAAAAGGAATGAAAAGAGTTTTGAAAACACGGAGAAAGCATAATTTTCTTAGCTCCTCTTTTTTTTTTCAAGCCACCCAATTTATGACCAAGATAGCGCAGTGGCGGTTAGAGAGGAGAGTGTGATTACTGGGGTCCCCCTCTGGTTCCCTCCTCCTTCCTTGCTCTCACTTGAAAACCGAGCACTTGGCTCAGGTGTCTGTGACACTGAAATCTGTGGCATTTCAGAGGGCGTGTCGAGGGTCGGGAGCCAGATACCCGCGCCTGATTCTCAGCTTGGCCCAGATCTGGGTCTGCCTCTTCGTATCAACACTGTGGCATTTAAAGCCCCACATGCTGGGTTCAGATCCTGGCTAACGCACTGCTGAGAGGCCTCAGGTGACAGATTTGAGGTTCGTTTCTGGCCTCCCTCGAGGATGGCCATAATATTTCCTCATTGCATTGCGGGGAGCTGAGGTGTGGTAGCAGGTGCCGTTCTCCGTCAGTGGTAAAATACACTAAATATAAGGCATGTCATTGTTATTTTCTTCATGATGACATCACAGCGCTTACTGAGAAAGCCACCGCTGAGAGTGAGAACTTGGTACAGTTCTGCGGCTGCAGCAGAAGGCATTTTATTTAATAGATGGAGAGTTGCTAAGTTCCTGCCTGTGGGACACAGCAGCCTCCTCTGGGACCTCAGACAGGGGGCTAGTGGATTAGAACCTTGGCTTTACTTCGGATGGACTTGTCCTTTCCTCCCAGCCCTGCTAAAAATGGAGCCGAGGGTTAAGGCTGACTTAGAAATGCTCCAGTCGTTTAGATAGGGCTACACCACACAGCATGACTTCACGTCTAAGGACTAGGAAAGACAGTGGAATTGATGCCCTGGAATTAGTTGTTCTTGCCACTGTTTTTATTCAAAGGTAAAGAAAATGTGTAGTTGGAAGAATAGGTAGATGCCCAACAAAATAGAAATTCCATGTTTTAAACACACACACACACACACACACACACACGCAGGGCTTCCTAATTTTTTAAAAATTTCAGTTTATTGGTAGAATGTAGGTGTACACGTTGACCACATTCATCATAGGGACTTTGTATCTTTATGGAATAATCTCAGTCCTCTGTGTCCCCCGTTCCTCTCCCCTTCCCCTCCTCCCTCAGTTTCCATTTGATCCTCCTCTTCTCATTTTGCTTTCCTTTCTCACTTTCCCTCCCTCCCCTGTTCTCCTTTGTTTTCTTGAATGAGCTCTTCCTATTCATAAGTATCTGTTGTACATTTATGTCCTTATTTACATTTTTAGTTTCTCAGACCAGAGAGAGAATGTGATATTTTTACATGGGTGTCCGACTAACTGTACTTAAAATTACGTCTTGAGGTCCATCCACTTAGCTATAAATATCTGAAAAACCTTTCTTTATGGATGAGTAATGCTCCATTATATACAAAAATGTCTTTTTTTAAAATCTGTTCATTGGCTGGTGAGCATTTGAGTTGTTTCCAAGATCTGGCTATCACAAATTGTGCTGCTATGAACACAGGTGAGCACACATCTCTGTGGTATGGTGCTTTTAATTCTTCTAGGAAGATACCCAGAAGGAGAATAGGGACCATTAATCCTAGTTTTTTGAGGAGTCCCCACACTGATTTCCACAGTGGTTGCACCAGTTTACACTCCCACCAACAGTGAAGAAGGGTTCCTTTTTCCCACAGCTGCTCCAGCATTTGTTATTATTTGTGTTTTTTTTAAAATAATAGCCATTCTTTCTGAAGTGAGATGGAATCTCACTCAGCATTGTTTTAATTTGCATTTCTTGAATGACCACTGATGGTGAGCTTTTCATATATTTATTTGCCATTTATACTTCATCTGAGAAATGTCTATGCGACATCTTAAATGCCCATTTTTGGATTGGGTCTTTGAATGTGCGGCGTCTGATTTTTTTCAGTTCTTTATATGTTCAGGTCTTAACTCTTTGTCTGAAGAACAGCTGTCATAAATTTTTTCTGACTCTGTGGGTTATCTTTTAACTCTGTTGATTTGATTTCTTTTGCTATGTAAAATCTTTTTAATGAGATGATATTCTGTTTATAAATTCTTTATATTAATTCCTGTTCTGTTGAGGTTTAATTCATAAAGTCTTTGCCTACACTAAGTCTTCCAGAGTTCTCTGTTTTCTTTTAGCAGATTTAGTGTTTCTATTTTAATATTTAGATCTTCGATCCATTTTGATATTAGTTTAGTGCATGGTGAGAAACATGAGTCTGGTTTTAGTCTTGGCCAGTAGGAATCCAGCTTTTCCAACACCGTTTGTTAATGTGTTTGTCCCTTTTGTCAAGGATCAGATTACCTGACTTATGACCAAGCTAGTGCAGTACCACAGTAAGGAAAAGATACATGATGCCTGATTAATTTGACACTCAAATTGAGAAGGAAAAGCATCTTTATTTTTACCTCACATAAAAACATTAATCCAGTTCTCAATTCAGATCCAAATATGAAAGGTAAAATAATAAAGCTTTTAGCTTTTAGAATAAACATAGAAAATGTAAGATCATGATGTTGGGATAAGCAAAGATTTCCATGGAACCCAAAAAAAAAGGATAACCATGTAGAGAAAAAATGTTGTATTGAGTTTAATTAAAATGAAAGATCTGTTTACTTACAAGCACCTTAAGACATTACAAAGGTGGTACAGAGTGGGAAAATACATTTGCCATAAAGAAGTGGACTGAAAATGCATTCAGAAATGTGCAAACCTCATTATCTCTGTTTATATGTATACAGTGTATGGCATACAATGTATAATGAACTCTAGCCAATCAGGACATTCAGTGCAACAAAAGCAAAAGACGTGGATGATTTATTAAAAGATGAAAAAGGCCGATAGGTATACTAAAGGAGGTTCAATTTAATAACCACTGAAAAAATAGACTAAAAAATGTGAAATTGCTACACCCCCATCAGAACACGTAAAATTTTTTCAAAAAATAAAATGCTGCCAGGGGTTTAGCTCAGAGACATAAGTGCCTGCTTAGCAAACCACAAGATTGTGAGTTTGATCCCTGACACACACACAAAAAAAAAAAAAGAAAGAAAGAAAGAAAATGCAAAGTATTGATGATAATTGTCAGACATTGTAGATGAGGGTGTAAGTTGTAGGAACATCTTTGGAAAATTACTTATTAATATCTACTAAATCACATGCATAACCTGTTCCATAACAGCTTCATTCTAGATGTATTTTCACTCCTAGATGGACACACAACAGACACACATATAATTTTTTTCCAAAAGATGTGTAGCAGGGTTGTCATTGCAGCACTAATAGCCAAGACTCTAGAAAATCCTGGAAATAAAAGGCCATCAAAAGCGAGGTGAAGAAATAAATGACAGTATATTCATGCAATGGAATATTATAAAGCAGTAGGAGCCATCAACAACCATGCACAAAATTACAGATGAATTTCACACCTAATGAGCAAAAGGAGCTCATGATTTTATTCATATGGAGAGGAAAAGTACATAAATCAACCCATAATGCCAGAGGGGAGGGTAGGACCTGATGGAGGGTAGTGACAAGGACATGTCACCACAGGAGCACCTGACTTGCTGGTAGTGCTCTGATTCTTTAGCTGGCTTTACTCACACAGGTAGGTTCAGCTGGTGAAAATCTATTCAGGGTATTATACACCTGTGACAAACTATGCGTGTGCATTGTGTCTACAGACATGCACATATATTGCCCCCATTCTTAGATTCTAATTGTATTGTAGTTTGGAAGCCAAATTTTGTTGACAAATCTGTGCCCTCGGTATAAACCTTTCAATTTACCTTGTATTCAGATTACAACATTTTTAATTAAATAATTTTTCTCTCTTCTTTTTTCCAGGGCCCTCCTGGTCCAAAGGGTGATAAGGTAGGAAAATGCATGGCAGAAACTACTGAAGTTGTTAGAGACCCTCATTGGCGTAATCTACACTGTGATGTACTTTGACTTGTTACAGCAAAGGTAGATTTTAGCTAATGCTGTTGTCTTGTCTTCCTGTGTTACAGGGAGAGCAAGGTGACCAGGGACCGCGGGTAAGTCGCACTTTCCCTATTTTGGGCAGAAAATTAGTTTCTACCTCTAAACTTACTAAATGAGAGCACTTCAGCATCACAACTCCCTTGTGTTGCATGATTTAGTAACAATCAATTAAAATACCATGGCTCATGTAAGTGAAAAAAGCTCAGTAAAACTAATAGGTATATTTTGTGCATTGTCTTAACTTGATGCCTACAGTAGAGCATCCTACAATAATTAGACCCACTGTCCAAGGACCAGGATCTCTTCTAAAAGTCCTCAGTACCCACTTTCCCGTCACCGCTGGGTCCTTCAGATTTGCATGCATTATTTCACAACATTAAAGCCATGTGGAGTGCTCTTGGACCTAGCATTTGTCTGCAGTTGAACTTCATGTGCTATTGCATAAGAATGTTTTATTTTAGATAAAAAATACGAATGCATTCCTTATATTGTCCTTTATCATAAGCCTACATAATTCTCATTTGAATTTCTCATTTTTTGCATATTTCTAAGCAGATAAAAGGTGTAACATGACTCAGCACTGTGGGAGGAGGGACATTCTTTTATTCTTCTCCAACGTAGCCCTTCAGACCATTACACCCAATAACGCATGCTTTGTTGTTACCTTGGTAGTGCCAAGTCTGCTGCTTCACATCTGTGGCTTATTACCCCGATGTTCAGACATACTGTTCCAATGATGTAGGCTCTGTTCAGACATACCTTTCAATTTTCTCATGTCAGTATGCACAACACGGGTAATTGGTTGAAGGGAGTAATTTTTTACAGTGGAAAAGCACATTTAAAACACTCAGGTTGGAACAGAAACTCTGTAGGTCTTTATGTAAAATGCACCCTGCTTAATTATTGAATTAATTTGTACTGTGTAAAGATTTTCTTTTCCTTTTGCAAAAGATTCAGCTGATGCACTCTTGGAAAGTTTTTGCCTTATCTCCTTGTGTTTCTTAAGCCAGTTAAACATCATTCTGTATTTCTTTTCTTTCTGTTCTTCGTCTAGCAGTGAGGGTTAGACCCACCATGCAGTTTCTGATGGCGATTAATCTGATGACGAGCATTAACCTCAAAGCTCATCTTAATTTTGTGCTATCTGCTGTCATAGATGGGAAGGGAATAAAATTCAGACCCTTAAATGATGAGACCACAGCCACTTCTCTGTAGGTGGTGATCGTGTCACACGGCACGGCTCCACTCACTGAGCAGTACTTCTTCCTACACACAATATCAAAATCACTCAACTCGCCCTTCCCAGGTAAGAGGGAAACCGCTTCCCTTCTGAGAAATCTTCTTTTGGCAGAAGAAGCGAAGGGGTGGCTCACAGCTTAGCTGTCATCAGGCCTCACACGCTCTTCATTTTCAAAAAGGTGTGTTGGCTTTCATCGTTAGGAAAAGTGATGATTGATTGTAAAGCAAGGCCAAATTTTCAAGAGGAAACCTGAAACCATCTGAAATTCACCTGGTTTCATGTTGCATTACAAACTGAGACTTGGACCCGGTCCCTTGAAGCTTGGCCAAAAGTTCGTGAACTACTTTGACAAACCCAGACTGCTCTTCAAACAGATTTCAGCCCGTTTTCACACTGACCAGGGTCAAGATTCGCACGATTCACGGGTCATTTAGCATGTCAGGGGGAAAGGCAGAAGGAAAAATGGATCCCGCTTGGATTTTACTTTGTATTGAAGGAATTTGGATTTAGCTCCTGAAGCAGGGCGATCTTGCTGGGTAAATGTCCTGGATGCGTCTGTAGGAGGAAAGGCCAACACGGCCATTCACCTCTTCTCGGATTCCTCCTTCTGTATTCTCAGCACTCTTAGAATTCTATAAACATTCCTTTCTGAGAACACGGCACTAGCTTGCTTCCTCAGAAATTTATCACGCGGAGACTCTTAACTGAAGATTTTATGTTTCTAGAAAACTGAGAGTATGTTGGAACTGAGCAAGCCTTGGATTTTCATGAAAATGAAATGTAGCCTCATGTTAGGTACCCTGTTCCAGCTGATGGTGGCTGTCTTTTAAAGGGTAGAGCTTTGAACTGAGCACTGTATTTTCATCCTATTGTGTCTTTCCTTCCAAAAAGAACTGTATTTCTAAAAACAGGCAGTGAGCAGATGACTGAATAGAAATCAAATATATGTATCACAGATTCCACTTCTGGCCGTTTGTTTCATGTTGATTTACTGCTTCTCATAATTAACATTGCGACCTTCTGGATTCCATCATTTCTGTCCTTTGTTAGGTGCCCTTCCGCCGTGGGGCTCATTGTGTTTCCTTGAATATGAGATCCTCTCTCTCTCTCTCTCTCTCTCTCTCTCTCTCTCTCTCTTTCCTCCCCACATGTCAAAGAAGAATTTAAGTCACAATATGTGATCAAAGCAGGAAAAACTGAAAGAGAACATAGAAATTAAAAACCTATTTGATGGACCCAGACATACACGGAAGAGTATATTTGAACATTATCATGTTGGAGAGACTGTGAAATGCTACAGACAGAACGGTCTCCTCCTCTTTCTGTTTCTCCTCTATGATCACCAGACTCAGCCTTCTGCACCTCACATTCTGCTGTCTGCGGGCATCTTCCAATCAGCTTCCCGCTCCCATCCTTGACCCCGCGTAATCCATTTTCTCCACGGCAGCCAGCGAGATCATTTTACATTGTAAATTAGATCATGTTACTCTCTGTTTAAAACCTTAGTGTGAAATCCAAGCCACCGCGCTTGGCCTCCGTGGACCTTCGAGGTCAGTCCTGCCACCTCTGCCGCTTCTGCCCTCCACACCCCCCGCCCCGGTGCCCCAGCCACGCTGCACTCGGTTTCCAGATGCGCCCTTCTGGTCTTCTCACTGAGACTCAGCTCACGTAGCCCCATCTAGGGAGAACGTCCTCTGTCCTCATCCTGATCTGAGGTGACCCTCCTGGGTTCATTCATTTGCTCATTGCCTGGAAAGGCTTGGCCCTGCCCTCTTGGAGCACAGGCTACCACAGAAGGACGTGGCCTGTCTTGTTCACACCATCAGCACCTTGCCAAGGAAGGGCTTGGTGAGTATTTGTTGAATAGGTGTATAAACAGCACTGTGTCACTGTTGCCCACAAGAAGCACATGGTAAGAACAATGTGACTGTATGTTATGTGCTGTAGAGAGCTCTATACCAAGAGAGAATGGACAAGTGCAATTTCTTCCATTCATCAGAGTTATCACTGGAGGTCTTGGAAGAGGTGACCCTTGAAGTAGGATTTGACAGTGATCTTCTCAAGTCAAAGTGGAGAGTGAAGCATTGCAGATTCCAGGGAAGGGAAATGTACAAACTGCACCACACGGGTAGAAAATAGTGTGATTCATTTAAAGAACAATTAACATTCGATTTGCAAAAGAGATAAGTTAAATATTGAAAAATTATATAGCGTTAAATTTTTTATTGAAGTGATGTCATGGGGCACTCTGGATTTCTAGTGTGATGGGCATTAGGAAGCTGATGAGAATTTTAAGCACACCATTCTCTGTACATTAACACCAGGCTAGGGCCATGAAGTGTTTTGCATCATTTGATGTGTACCATCAAATGTTCTTTATAAAAACCTACAGTGTGGTATTGTCTGTGGCAGAACAGAAGAGGGAGAGAATAAAAGCACAGAGACCAAATACGTTGATTATCCAGGACAAGGCGCTGAGGTCCTGGCTCTAGGGGAGATAACAAGGTCAGCTGAGGGTCTAGACTGGCTCGGCCTGGAGCACCAGATGCTAGCAGAAGAGACAGAACCAGAGCCAAGGTTCAGCAGTAGGGGAGGACTAAGCTAGCCAAGAAAAGGATCCTAAATGGTTCATCAAAATATGGGAGGAAGCTCTGCTTTTCCTACGGGAGGCAGGAAGTGAGTCTTAGGGACTTTCCTCATCACTGGGACAGGACACCAGACACCCATGCAGAAAGGAGGAGAGGTTTATTTGCATTCACATTTTCATTCGACAGTGGGCTGCTCCACAGCTCTGGCAGGAGAGAGCTGTGCACGTGGTGGTGGCCAGGGAGCTGGGAGAGAAAGGAGGAGCCCAGAAGGGAGACGTACCTTCCGGGTCACACCCATGACCTGCCTCTTCCCAGTAGGCACCCAGTACCATGTCGAGCTGCAGACCCTGCGACCCACTCACCTTCCCAAAGCCCTGCCTCTGAGCACTGGGTAGTTTGGACATCATTCTGCATCTAAACTGCAACAGTGGGCTTTTCTTGAAGAAGGCATGTAACGGTGTTATTTTTATAATTATGTATTTCCTGGCTATTCATTGTGGATATTGTTTGGCCATGCTTTTGGTGGTTTTTCCATGTTGGCCGGAAGGTTCCCCAGTCATCTCTGGATCTGTAGGAAGCAGAAGGTTAAAGGGTCAAGAAAACATGATTTTCCTCAGGAATTTCATAGCAGGCCCCTGCTCATGTCTCTCTGGTCAATCTGTGGCGTGTAGGTAGGAGCTAAAGCTGAAGGGGGGTAAGGAGAATGGAGTGAAGAACAAAACTGGGTCACCTCCCTCATGGGTGTGCCCGAAGTGCCAAGTAAGAACCTGGGTGTGCAGAAAGGGGAAGCCAGGAACCGCACGGGCGGGAGGGAAGTGGATAGCCGGAAGCCGTGAAACAGGACCGGGCGACATGGGTTTGGTCTCTGTTAGGTTTGTGTCCAGGACCATGATCATGGGTGGAATGTGGCCAGGTCAACGTTCTTTGAAAAGTCTATTGAAATTGAAAGATGAAGGTATGAAAATTCAGCACAAGCCTCAGACCTTACCAGCTGTAAGAGTTGAAGTTGAAGTTCCTGGCTTGATGCTTGACAACATCAGAGGAGAGTCCTGGGAATGCATGACAGGTTGAATTTGAGTTCTGTGAAATTCGTGAACTTGAGATATTTCTGGAATAGGGGAACCAAGAGAAACGTGAGACTAGAATTGTGAAGTGGTGCTGTAACCGGAGGTGACGGATACAGAGACAAGCTGTCACAGAGTGAGAAATGCGACCGCAGAGTCAG